GAGGGGGCAAAAGGGGCAGGGAAGGAAGGCTGCAGACCCCACACTTATGAGGGGGAAGGGGTGAGAACCCCCCAAACTTACCCACCCCCCTTTATTTTCCAGATCCACCCCCGAACCTCAAAGCAGAGACGCAGGTGAGTCCGGGCACTTCCCTGCCCGCCACACTGGGGTCCCACATGAGGGTGGGGGGACCGAGGCCCCCTCCTTGCCTGAGTCTCCGCCACCCTCCCTCTTTGGGCGTGGCTTCTGGGTGGGGGTGGGGGTGGGGTGGCCCTGGAGGTTGGGAAGGTCCCTGTGATGGGATGTGGTTGCAACAGAATAAACACTTGGGCATGTGGCCGCTGCAGCCCTGCGCACTGGACGGCTCCCGGAGCTGGGGGGGGGCGGGCAAGGCGGGAGAACCCAGGAGTCCTGGCTCCCAGCCCCCCCTGCTCTAACCCATCAGCCCCCACTCCCGTCCCGGAGCTGGGGGGTGGGAGAACCCAGGAGTCCTGGCTCCCAGCCCCCCCTGCTCTAACCCACCAGCCCCCACTCCCCTTCCAGAGCCGGGGAGAGAACCCAGGACTCCCAGGGTCTAGTGTTTAGGGAGTTGGGGGGACTGGGAGCCAGGACACCTGGGTTCTCTCCCCGGCTTGGCCTTGCTGTGTGACCGGCATCTCGGGGTGCGATTAATCCCTGTGAGTCCCTGACGCAAGGGCAGGGGGGGCAGTGCTGGGGGGGCAGCGCTTAATTCCCCCTAACGTGTCTCTGTTCTCAGCCCCCCGAGAAGCGGCGGCGAACCATCGAGGACTTCAACAAATTCTGCAGCTTTGTCCTGGCCTATGCCGGCTACATCCCATCCACCAAGGAGGTGAGCGACTCCCTTAGGCCCTACGGGCCTGTCCCCTCTAGGGGGCGCTGGCTCCCATCTAGCCCCAGGGCGGGCACTGGCTGGCTCAGGGGGGTGGGGAATGGGCACAGGGCCCGTCCCCTCTATGAGGCGCCGGCTCCCATTCGGCCCCAGGGCGGGGACTGGCTCGCTCAGGGGGGTGGGGAATGGGGCAGGGGCCTGTCCCCTCTAGGGGGCGCCGGCTCACCTCTGGCCCCAGGGCGGGGACTGGCTGGCTCAGGGGGGCGGGGAATGGGGTAGGGGGCTGTCCCCTCTAGGGGGCGCCAGCTCAGGGTGGGGAATGGGTTGGTGCCAGGGGTACTCCCAATTCCCAGTCCTATCGTGATCTACTACATGTCCCAGCAGGCCCTTCTGGGAGCCCCCCCCCAGAGCACAGGACTCTGGTATATGTAGGTTTTTCCATAGGCCCCTGCCTTGTTTTCTGGGCTCGGAAAACTACAGGTCCCAGCATGCCTTGCAGCCCAGCCATTTAGCTAAGAGGCTGGAGCAGGGAACTGTGGGAGCTGTAGTGTTGTCAGCCCGGCTGCCTAGAGGACATGTCCGCACAGGCGGGGCTTGCCAGCAGCATTGCATGGTGGGACATGTAGTCTCTCCGGCAGCCCTGCACGAATGCAGAGATGTACCCATCCCAGCCGGCTGGGAATGGTGCATGCTGGGAAGTGTCTTTCCCTTTGCAAGGCGCCTGGGACCCAATGCATGCTGGGAGAGCGGACAACACCCTCTCCTGACCCGGGCCGCACTGCATGCTGGGAAGACGGCCAACACTCACCCCCCAGCATGCTAGGCGGGTGGCCCGGGGACCACTCCATGGGCTGGCCTCCGCTTCTCCCTGCTGCTCCCTCCCTAATCTGCATCCCCCACACCCAGGAAAGTGACTGGACCCCTTCGGGCTCCAGCTCCCCCCTGCGCCCGGAGAGCGTGGCGGACAGCGACGGCTGGGAGTCAACCCACTCGGATCTGCACACCATTGAGACCTTCGTCAAGAAGGCCAAGTCCTCCAAGAAGAAGGCCTTCCGCCGCCTGAAGGCGGACAGCTCCCTGCTGGAGAAGATGAAGCTCAAGGACTCCCTCTTTGACCTGGATCCGGCCGGCCGGCAGCCGCCGGCGCCCCGGGCCGGCCCGCCGGGGGACAAGAAGAAGGAGAAGCGGTGCCGGCGGGCGGGAGCGGCCCCTGAGGCGGCCCGGCGCGGCCGGGGGGACTCGGCGGGCGAGAAACGCTCGCGCATCAAAAAGAGCAAGAAGCGGAAGTTGAAAAAGGCCGAGAAGAAGCTCAAGGCCTCCCTGAGCGAGACGGACTCGGAGGAGGAGGGGGCGGGGGGGGCGGTGGCGGCACCGCGCCGGGGTGGGGAGGAGGAGGCCCCCTCCCCGGAGGAGCTGCTGCCAGAGGGCGGCTTCCCGGAGCCCAAACTGGGGGGCGGGGAGGGCAAGGAATGCGGCAGCACCGAGACCAGCCAGGACGGTGACGGCAGCTCCAGCGAGGGGGAAATGCGGGTCATGGACGAGGATATCATGGTCGAGTCAGGTGAGGGGGCCAGGGCCGCCGGGCCTGTTCTCCCAGGGGGCCGTGGGGCCAGGAGACGCGGGGCGTGCTGGGACGGCGGGAGGGGAAGGCGTGGTGACGGGGTGGGAGGTGGCCGGCCAAAACTTTGCTCCGCTGCGGGCTGGCGTTGGGAACGCAACCCAGGAGTCCTGGCTCCCGGGCCCCCCTGCTCTAACCCACCAGCTCCCACTACCCTCCCAGAGCCAAGGAGAGAACCCAGGAGTCCTGGCTCTCAGCGCCCCCTGCTCTAACCACCAGCCCCCACTCCCC